GATCTCCTATGTTTCAGAAACCAAAAGAACTGCCAGACTAGAAATATGTAAAGGACAGAATGCCTTCTCCCTCATGTCTCATAGTCCAGGCTTTCAATGAAATATGAAGAGAGAATGATTCCAAGGACAAACAGGCGCTGAATCTAATGGGAAGGACCTGGGAGACTTCAAGGAGGAGGTGACACTGACCTGCAACTTGAAGAAGTAAATTAGAGGAAGTTAAAGGCAGAGGACAGAATTCCAGAAACAGGGCCAACATATCATAGTACAGAGATTCAACACCCAGTGCTGGGTGAATGTGATGTTTATTACACCTCCCTAGGTCTCAGCTCCCTTGGCTGTACAGGTGCAGGGGTGGGGCAGACATAATAATCAGAAGGACCAGATCTGAAGAGAGCCATGATGAGTGCACCGTGGCTCAGGTGACAGAGAACTTGAGCCTGACAATTTCAGGGTATTCCAGTGAGTAAGTTCCAGTTGAGTAAGAGGTCTGGTCAGAATGAACTGAGACTCTGGGAAGGAGGGGAGGGAGGAACGTAAGAAGGAAGTGAGGGAGGGAAGGAGGGAAAGAAAAAATTAAAAAAATGGCTCAAACTCCAATTTAGCTGTGCAAGAACTAAGTCTGTTTAACTGAGTGCCTGGCACTTGTGGAGAACCAGATGCACCAGGCATCGGGTTGGGTGTTTTCACTGGAGTCTCACGACAACCCTATCATCTTGGTATAATATCCCCATTTTATAGATGAGAAAACCGAAACCTAGAGTACTCAGTTGGAGCTGAGTTAGTGGTAGAGTTAAAAGTCTGGTTCAGATTAGTCTGGGGTCTAATCTGTGCTCTTCCCAGAGTGCCACATGGGTTTAAGTCACTCTCACTCTCAAGTGTCCCTGGTGCTGAGGGCAGCCTCACTGCAACCTTAACAGGGGCTCAGGAACTGTTTTGCAGCTCAGACACCCCCTGGGCAAACTCTGGGTTCATGAGGCAGAGAGGCCTTAGGAGTTTCAGGCCTTTAGGGTTGTTCCTGGACATAGCAGTGGACCTGCCTGGGCTCTAGGTCTGACAGAAACAGGGTCAAACCTCAATTTGGTTGTGCATGAACTAAAGTTGACCAAAGTCTTCAACCTCATCCAGACAAGGCAGCAGGGTGAGAGCCAGCCCAATCGCAGACCCAGATCTCAAATGCCCCAGAGGTGAAATGATACCAGGTGTGTGTGGGTGCTTCAGAATCATGGGGTAGAGACAGGGGAAAGAAGAGAAACCCAGGAGTGGACATTTTTTCTCTTTTTTTGGGGGGGGGGTCACATCTGGCAATGCACAACGGTACTCTTAGGTGTGCACTCCAGAATTACTCCTGGTAGTGCTCGGGGGACCATATGGGATGCTAGGAATCGAACCCAGGTCGGCCACATGCAAGGCAAACGTCCTACCTACTGTGCTATCGCTCCAGCCCTGAGTGGATAACTGTCGAAACTGAGTCATGGTTTACATCAGAGGTTCTCAAACTTACTGGAATTATTGTGCCCTTAAAAAAAATTATTCAGGACCCACCCTTGAAAACTGCTGTCTTTAAGCAAGCAAACAGAAAACACATCCAAGGTTACTATCTTTCCAGCTGAGTTACCCGCTTTGGGAAATACTTTCCACCCATTCTCCCTAATTTGAAATTGTCCGTAATGAAATACAAAATAATAACATCTATAAATAAAACAATGGTGCTCACCCTGCTCTCTCCCCAACACTGTCTTGCTTTCAAATCCTAGGCGAGAGCAGCCTGTGTATGCAAGAGTCTGCATATGTGCCGTCACTCACTGGCGATGTGACTTCAAGCTAGTAGCTGTTTCCTTCAGAGTCTCCATTTCCTGCTTTGTAAATGGGGCTGAAAGATTCTAAGACCTCATGGAATTGTGGTGACATTTATGTGGGATATTACAGGACAACGCGGACTGGACGTGACAGGTGTGCTTGGGCTGGTGGGGGCTTTGCAGTGCCCCTGAGCGTGACAAACTGTAGCCAAGAGCAGGAGGACTTAGGTCAGTACGTGGGGAAGAGCCCATCAGACATCCTCTGCCCCTCCAGGGACAGACCTTACCTTCTTGGAGCCTTTCACACGTTTCCCGAAGCACGCTAGACAGCAGCTTGTCGGCCTTTGCACTTGCCTCCCCTCACTGCTTAGAGGCCCAGAGGCTCAGTCTGGGGCCGGTGGAAAGGAGGGGAGAGGCCCAGCCTTCCTCTGTTGGCTTCCAGGACATGGCCTCAGTTTCTCCATCTGTGACGGAGATGGACAGCTCCTGGCAGGGGTTGGTGAGTGAGTGAATGAATTCATGAATGTGTGTGGTGCGACAGTGGACAGACATAGTGACCTGTCGAGGCCCAAGGGTGCCGGCGGCTGCTCCTGGGCTGGGGAAGGGTCGGCCCTGGGGTAAGAAAAGAGAGCAGGGGAAACAGACGCGGTAGCAGAAGCTAGGGCAGGTGTGGACGTGCAGAGCACGTGGTATTCAGCAGGAGAGAAGCGAGGAGCAGCAGGAGGTGGACACTAGGACGTCGTTCCCCAAAGCCAAGCGAGGGTGGAAGAGGGGGTCTCCGGAGACCCCCAGCGGAAGGCCGGCGAGCGCCCACCGCGGTTCTGGAAGCCTTCCCGCTCAGCCGGGCTCCGCAGCGCCGCCTGGCGGGCACGCCGCGCTCCGCTCGGGCTTCGGTGGCCGCTGGCCAGCGCGCCCGAGATGCCGCGGCGGCGCGGGAGAAAGAGCGAGAGGCGGGAGCGAGCGGGCCAGGCCGCGGGGTGGGGCGTGAGTCCGGGAAGGGGCTCGAGCATCTGTCTGCACCCTCAGCACCTACTCACATCCTCTCTTCACTGTCCCCGTGTTGGGTGACTCAGCTCAACACGTCGGGGAACCCTCTCCCCGCGCCCCCAGCCCTGAAGCTGCAGCATTTTGTTCCTCCCAAGTAGCTTCTCCGGGAAAGGCGGCGGGGTGGGGGGCTGGTGTCTCAGTAAAATGTCAAGGCATCTGGCTTTTGATTTTGTCAATAAAATTCTAAGAGAGGGGCGTGAATGTACAAGGCTGCCCAGGTTGTCTCTCCGGTTGGTCCCACGGTGGGGGGGATTTCAAGGTCTTGGCTGGCACGCCAAGGAAAAGCGGTCCCACGGGATGTGGCGTGGTGCTCCCAGGACCCGGGTCCCAAGATGCACAGATAAGGAGGATCTTTCCTTAAGAGGCTCGGGCCGGGGCTAGTGAGGGGACGAGCTGGAGGGCCTGGCTTTAGGTCCCAAACCCTGGATACTGGAGTCTGTTGGGGTTCGAGTCTCAGCACCACCTCCAACGTGCTCCCTCGCCACGGAGTGGGGGCTGCTTCTCACGGAGGCTCCGGGTGACAGACCTCCCATCACCTGGGGATCTCAAGGAGCCAGGCTCAGCCAGGCCCAGTTCAGCTTCTTAGTGGGACCAAAGAGGGAGCAGGGCTGCAGCCACCCAACCGCAGCGCCAGCCCGGGCCCATTTCGGTCGCCCGCTCCAGTACCCGCACTCGGGGCGCCAGAGTGAGACTTTGGGCGGCTCCGGAGGCGGAGGGGAGCCTAAGTCTGCCTAAACGCTCCCCCGCGGCGCGTTACTGAAGGTCGCGGGGCTGCTTCGGGGGACCTGAGAACGGCCCAGGAACCAGGAGGTTCTAACCAGGCGACAGCGTCCAGCACGGTGGAAAATCCCAAAGCTCCCCCAAGGCCCGAGTAAAGGCAGGGGCCACGCACTGGGTCTCCCGAGACTGAGCGCGAATCTGCGCGGCCGTGAATCCCTCGCAGACGCAGCAGCAGGGGGAGTTTGGTGCCGGGAGGCCGCGGGCTCCCGGAACCCAGAGCAGTCCAGGAGCGGGGTGCGCTCGGGGTGCGCCTCAGGGCCGCGACGCGGGGATCTCAGGGAAGGTGCGCTCTGGGTCTGGGCTCCGAAGGACGAGCGCCCGTCTGGAGAGCCCGAGGGTGGGGGTGGGGGGAGTCGGGTCACGTCCGGGTCTGGACGATCTGAATGTGTTTAAGGGAGTGGGCAGGGGCGCTGCGCACTCTCACCCCACCCCACCCTCCTAGCGATTAGAGATCTTCTCCGCGTGGCTCCACCGCCTTCCCAGCCGATCAAGCTCGGGAGATGAGTGCTGTGCACCGGCGTGGGGATCCCCGTCCCGGCGGGCTTCTGCCGAGCCGAGCCAGCAGCCCAGATCGGCCCTCGGGGCGCACCTGGTTGCCCCCGCGAGGCGGCGAGGGGCGCCGGATCCCCGAGGGAGCCGCGTGAAAGGGGCTTCCAGGCCCCGGCGCGCTGTCCCGCGGCGCGGACTGGGCCTAGGCGCGCGGTGCGCAGCGGCCGGAACGCGGAAACGCGGCAGTAGCACCCGCCTGCTGCGGGGCCCGGCTCGGCCGAGGACGCCGCCCGCATCCGGGGCCAGAGAAGGGGTCAGCCCGCGGCCACCTCTGGCCCTCGGCAGTCCGAAGGAAAGGGGAGCCGACTCGCCTCCTCCCCAGGGACAAGAGGGTCTCGGCGCGCTCCCCTAAGCGTGGAAAAAGGTGCCCAAGCGCCCCCCGCGTCCCCGTCCCGCGGCTACCGGTTCGGGACGCGCGCGGCAGACCGGGTTGGACGTCGCGGGAGGCCGCTAGGCACGGCCGCGCCCCGCCCCGCACAAAACGAAACCCAAACTCCCCCAGAGCGCCAGAGCAACCTTCCCCCTCCTTCCTTTATTCTGCACTTTAAACAAACCGACAGCCGGGAGAAACGTTAAAAACGAAATGAGCGGCAGCTCGGGACACTTTTTCAACGGTGAAACCCCCTCCTTAAAAATTCCTTCCCCGAGGCCGAGCCCACGGGCAGCCCGGCCCCGCCGCTGCGGCTTCCCGAAAGTCACAGCAAAGCCGGCTCCAAAGCGGCCTGCGTCCCGCGGAGCGGGTGCCAGGGCCCCGGGGCGCCCACTGCGGCTGAGGCGGCCGTGCTCTTCTCTCTCCTTTAACCCCAAAAATAAAAAGATAATAAGAAGAAGTAAAACCTTTTAATACATCAAATATACGGAATTTTAATCTTTAAAGCGATACATTGTCTATTATTTTAGTACATGACGTAAACCTTACTTGTCCCCTTCTCAGCGGGTGGACTTAAAAATTAAAAATAGTTAAGTGTTCCTTTTAAAGAACAAAATAAGGCAAATGAGGTTTTGGAATAGAATTGTTTTTCCTTTTTTTTTTGTTTTCTTCCAGAATACATACAAAAAAATACCCATTCTCTTTCGATGGTATACACCTTAAAAATAATTGCAATTTGAAATCAGAGTTGAACAAATTGTGACTTGTTTTTTTTTCTTTTTCTTTTTTTTGGTAACAAACATGCATGTAAATTGGTGTTTCGATCAGACATTAAATAAGAACGTACAATACAATCATAGCAAGTTTAAAGTAACATTAAAGAGAAGACCTCTAGTTCTGTGGCGGTTTTGTATTTATTTATAATCTACAAGGGATGGGAGGGTTTGTTTTCCACATTTTTCTTACCCTCGAGTTTTAATCCCCCCTCCTCTTTACCTACAGAGCTCAAACTAAATAATGCACTTCTGAACCACGGGTCCGCTTGGAGCTAACATAAATAAATACCGGTGCCCATCGATGCAGTCCTTAGACGAACACCTCGATTATTTTTCTTTCTTTTTTTTCTATAAAAAGTCAAATGATATTTTTCCAACTTTTAGAAAGTTTGGGTGGGGAGTGAGAGGTGGGTGGGGTGGGGGAGTGGTGTTTCCCACCGGCTCTCCGTCGTGCTTTAGGGGGATGGATACGGCGGGCATAGAACGTTTTCCTCCGCTGGCCCTGGCCTTCCCCGCGCACGGGTGACCGTCGCCTCTGCCCCGCTCCCGCCCCTCCCGCGGCCCCTCCCCTCCGCCCGCGCCCGGGCGCCCGGCTCGGCCCCGGCCGCCTTCACTGGTAGCCCAGCGCCGAGGCCGTGGTTAGTCTCTGTCCGTAGAGGGCGTAGGGGGAGTAGTAGGGTCCGGTGGCGGCGGGCACCGGTACGGGGGCGCCGGGGGTGGGGAGCGGGCTCTTGGAGTAGGGGTGGTAGCGGCTGCTGAGTCCCAGCGCGTGGTGGGGGCTGCGCAGCGCCAGCGTCCCGGGGCTGCCCGGAGCGCCCGACGTGGGGATGTGCATGTGGCACGCCATGGCGGCCGCGGCGGCGCTGGCCAGAGACGACGAGCTGGGGTAGCCCGACAGCAGTTTGTCTGTCCCGGGGAAGGCCGTGTGGGTCCGCAAGTGGCTCAGCAACTCTTCGGACGTGGCGAAGCGCTTGTCGCACGGCCCGTTGGCCGACACCCAGTTGCAGATGTGGGGCAGCGGGTCGTTGGGGAGCATGAAGCCGTAGGGGTAGAGCGGGTGGCCGGCCAGGGAGGGCGGGGTGGCGCCGGCCGCCGCGGCCGCCGTGAGCGACGAGTGCACGCCGTGCAGCGGGTGCGTGGGGTACACCAGCGGGTATCCGGACTTGAGCGCCGCGGCCGCCGCGGCGGGGTCGTGCGCGCAGGAGGCGCTGGCGGCCGCCGCCCCGGCCAGGTGGCTGGCGCAGTGGTAGCTGAGACAGTACGGGTCCCGGCACAAGCTGGCGGTCATCACCGACGGCGGCGACGCCCCGGCCAAGGGGCTGGAGCCCGCCGGCTTACTGCAGCCCAGAGAGCCCGCCGCGGCGGCCGCCAGCTGCGCCCCCACCAGGCTGCCGGGCTTGGTGGGGTCCAGGGCCACGCCGTGGGGCAGGAACTGGGGCGGGTAGCCGGCGTAGGCGCCCGCCAGGCTGCCCGGGTAGGTCATGCCCGCGGGAGGCAGAGGAAACACTGTCTGGCCCGGTTTGTAGGGCGAAACGGGAGCCACCAGCCCAGAGCCCAGCACCGAGGACGAGGTGGGCGCGCTGGGGCCGGAGGCCGAGCTGGAGCCCGAGGAGCCGCCGCAGTCCGAGCCGAGCGCCTTGGCGCCCGGGCCCCCGTCTGGGTGCTGGTTCACATCCACACTGATGCCGCCGCCGCAGCTAATCCGGCCGTGCGCCAGCCCCGCGGGGCCCCCTTCGGCCGACGCGCTCCCGGAGCCCTTGCTGCCGCCGCCGCCGCCAGCGTCGGGGTCCTTCTTGTCGTCCTTGCCCTCGGGGCCGCCCCCGGCCGAGGGCAGCATGCCTCCTGGCGAGCAGGCCGACGCGCTGGAGCTGGGGCTGCCTGTCCTGGGCGTGAACGGCTGGCAGGTGGCGCTCGGTACCCGGAATCCGGACTTCTCCGCCGAAACCCCCCCGCCGCCGCCGCCGCCGCCGCCGCCGCCCCCGCCGCCGCCGCCGCCGCCGCCTCCCGGCTCCTTCTTATCCGAGCCGGGTTTGGAGTACGGCTTGAAACTCGACTTGTCCTCCACGCCGATGTCGCTCAACTTGAGGGGCCCCGACTTGGCGTCCTTATCGCCCCCGGCGCCGCCGCCGGCGCCGCCCGCGCCGCCCCCATTGGAGGCGACCGAGGAGAGTTTGGAGGAGGGCGAAGGGTCTGGCTTGCCGATCTGCGAGCATGTTTGCGCCAACAGTGCCAGCGGACTCTTCTTGGCATCAAGCTGGGAGAGGGGGGCGCAAAAAGGAAGAAGGGGAAACCTTTCAGAATCCTGGTTTCTGCTCAAACGCCCCTCCAACCCCGAGCGCGTTTCTACGCGACACTTCCCACACACACACACACACACACACACACACACACACTTGCAGAAAGGACGCAAACATCCCCTCCCCATAGATCTTTCCTGTCTTAAACTCGAACCGGATTTTAAAAATACGAAATGTTTTGGCTTCTGGTCCCAGACCTAGAACTCTACCCCGCACTTCCACACCCCACCCCACCCCAACGCCTGAGTAAGGGCTTGGGCGCTGGCGCCTGCAAGGCTGTGCACAAATACCAGCTTCGCTCGACCCCGAGAACTGCGAGTTTGGGAACCGTATATCCGACTCTCAGCAGACGAGACTGAGGGGGCGCCTAGGTGGGGGGCTTTAATACCAAAGGGGAAAACAAGTTTGAGCTACCTTGCCCCCTAGCTTTCACACCTCGTTCTACCTCCTTCCTCCGTTCAGCCCTAGTTTTAAGGTGCGGAACACCCTCTGGCTCCCCCCCCCCCCACCTCCTGCCACCGCCATCGTGGAGCTGAATCACTCAGACCTCCCCCCCCATCCCAACTCCCATTCCCACACTCCGAGAAAGAAATTCCGTGGGGCGGCAGTCTCAGGGTCAGGGGCCTCGGTCCGCCTTTGGAGCGGGTCCTTACCTCGATAGGACTGACAGGAGTAGAAGGCAGGGGCTGCAGGTACTCGGGGTGCAAAATGTGGCCAGTCCTTGCGGTCAGCATCTTCAGCACCTTGATGGGCAGGCGGTTCGCCTGGCGGAGTGGGTCAGAGGGGGGCACGGCGTGCACAAAAGGCTTGGTGCTGCCGGCCGGGGACGAGCCGGGGCCGGGGCGGGAGCAATTTCCAGAGAGTGCGCTGGTCCAGGCAGGGTCCGCGGCGCCGCCGCCGCCGCCGCCGCCGCTGTGCTTACTGCTTCGTAGGGCAGAAAGCGAGGGCGCTGTGCTCATGACCCACCCGCGCGCATGGGAGCAGCGGGGGGGGAGGGCTCCGGGTGCGGGGCGGGCTCGGGGCTGCGCGCTCGCCCGGGGAGCAGGAGCGGCGGCAGCAGCAGCAGCAGCAGCAGCAGCAGAAGGAGCTGGCGCGGCGGCCACCAGCGCCCAGCGCGCCTCCTCGGCGCCGGGATCCCGAAGCGAATAATCCTGGGTGGCGGGCGGAGAAGCCGGGGCCGAGCGGGAGGAGCCGGCCGGACTGCGGGAGCGCCGGGGGGGCTGGCGGGGTCCGCCTCGGGCTGCGCCCCTGCGTTGCGCACTCGCGGCCCCGCGCCGCCGCTGCGCTCTGCGATGTGAGCTGCTGCCTGTCCAGCCGGGGCTCTGGCGAGGAAACTCACTTCAAAAGCAGCTGCACCGAGGGGGAGATTAAAGCCTTTGCCGCCTTCCAATCAAATGGGAGCCCGAGGTGATTGGAGGGTCAAGGGGATGTGACGCGTCCCGCGCCGCCGCCGCCGCCGCCGCCAGGACTCTCAGCGCAGGTTTTAATGGGCAGCTCTCTCTTCGCCGCCGCCCCCCCCCCCGCCCCCAGCTCGTGTGTCCCCTCCCTAGGCTTCGCTTCGAGGACGAGCTGGACATTTATTCTACGGTTGCTATCTGCCGCCTCCCTCTGTTTTTCCTCCTGGGCGTCATTCCCCCCCCCCCGCCCCCAGATCGAAAATAAATTGAAACCTTGCGCAGGAGAGAGCGAATGAGGAAGCGATGGAACGGGGTGTCCAGACCCGCCGGAGTCTGGACAACTGCCAGACAGTTCACTGCAGGGGCGCACGGAATGCGGGGTGGGGGGGTCTTCGCACTTCAAGTATTCTCTATTTGGTATTAAAATTGCTCGCGGAACGGCCGCCGGGATAAGGAAAGGTGGGGAGCGGATGCTGAAAGTCCGCCCGCCCGCCTGGATTTCCCAAGAATCCGTGGCGGAGAAACCAGAAGCTAGGTGGGCAGCGGAGGCGGCGGCGGCGCTCCTCGGAGCCGCGCACCGGGCACCCCGCCCTTCCCGCTCACGTGACGCTCGCGAACGAGCAGATTGGGGCAGGAGCCGGGGTCACATGTTTCCTCTGTTTCACACTCTCGCCCCCCTTCCTTACTCTCCCTTGCCACCCTCTCTTCTTCTCTCCTCCACCTCCCCCCCCCCCCCATTTCTTTGGGCACCTCCACCCCTCCATCAATTGTCAATGTTCCTCGACCGCAATCAATCAGTTATTTGTCAGCTCTTGTCAATCCGCCCGTGATTTATGTCAGCTTTTGTTGCTGATTACAAGGCGGGTGCGACTTGAAGGGAAAAGGAGAGAGGGAGAGAGAGACGGAGAGGAAGAGACCGGGGGAGAACCGGAGGAGAGGAAAGAGAAGCAGCCTCCCGGGACGGAAGGCGGCTGTGGGGAAGGGGTGGGGTCTACGGAGGAAGGGAAAGAGGGGCTCCGTGCCAGAAAAAGGGATAGTGAGAGGAAAGTGCGCAGGTGCGCCCCAGCAGGCCCAGGGTGCGCGCCTCGCCCGACCTGTGTCTGAGAAAGTGATACCCGCTTCCACCCCCGGGGACTTTGGTCCGTGGGGACCGCGGAGTTCAGAGGGGTCGCTTAGAGGGCGGCGATGACGTCTAACCCGGGAGATGCGCCCCCGCCCCGCCTCCCGCCCGGGAGTCCCTCGGGGCGCGCGGCATGCGGGCACAAGGCCACTGCCCTGTCGCGGACCCCACTCTCCGTACTGTCTCCAGACTCAAACACTTCTCGGAGCCCACGACCAGTGTAACCCTGAGTCTTGGAGGGCGGTGAGGGGCGCATCCCCCTCTGCTCGGGTTCTTTGCCCCCTCTCGGATCGCAGCTAAAGTGCAAAGGCCCGCGTCAGTGAGGCCTGAGCGTCGCTGTCTGGGGAGCGAGGGTGGGATATGAAGTCCCGGGCGGGCTTAGTCTCTCCCACCCGCGCTGTCAGACGGAGTAGCTGGGGTGACTCCGGCCCGGGCGGCTCCGTTCGAGTTTGTTGGCGCGCGGGCTGGGGCAGAGACCCTGTGCAGGGAGAAGAGAGGGAAGGAACTGGGAAAGGGAGGGGGCGGCCGCCGGTGGGAACGCGGCTTTGGCAGGGAAGCGGGGCAGGACCGCCGCGTTCCCCTTGATTTGCACCGTCACTAGGGCTGTCTGCAAGGAAGAGGGGAGGCGCTGTGTGCTCCGTGTACCTGGGCCGGTGCACAAGTGTGCAGGTGTGTGAGTTCTCGGGGCTCGGATAGCGTCCGGAGCGTGTTGGGTGTGTGTATGTGGGGCGGGGGGGGGGGGGGCGTCTCAAGAAACTCGCAGAAACTGCACAGGGGCGAGAGAAGGGCACCTCTTCTTCCTCCGGGGGGATAGGGAGACTTGGAATCTCCCTTCCCCCACTTTTCCTCCCCAGCTCCTCTTTTGTTGTCAGATCCGTTTGATAAATGGTGGGGGCAGAGAGCTTGCGGAGCAAGGAACCAGTCTGTACCCGCGTGGAGGGCGGGGGCCCGCGCAGAGCCGGGAAAGCGCCGGGTCCGGTGTGGAACCAGCCTCCGGCAAGGCCACCCTCTCCTCGCGGGCCACCCCATTCCCCTCTCCTAAACACCCTTCTCCCCCTTTTGGTGTGTCACTCCACTGCGCACAGCTACCGAGAACTTTCTGGGGGGTGAGTTTTAGAATTCTCTCATAGGCATCACTTTCTGCCTTTCAGTCGTACCCGTGGATCCCTTGGGTTGGTGAACTTCAGGAGATGGTAATTTGACTACAGGAAATTTGAAGAAGGGACAGGAGCCCGAGGCGGTCTGTGTAGGGGCTGCCGCTCCTGTGTGTGGGGTAAAGGTGTAAGAATACACGGACGGACGTTCAAGTGGGCTTGAGGTGGGCTTGAGGTGTCTGTGCGACAGCCGAGCCAGGTGAACGGGCGAGCCGGTAGCGAGGCCACGCGGGGGGCGGGAGGTTTTCACAGCGGTCTTCGGGGGCGAGTCCCAGGTACCGCCAGGGTCGCGCGTCGGCAAGGCCGCCGGGCTGCTGCGCGTCTGTGTCTTGGAGAGTGCGGCTGTCGGGGTGCCGGCGCCCCGCTCCGAGAGCGCAGCAGCGGGCCATGCGTCCCTACGAGCGCCCGACTCTGAAAACCCGGGGTGGCGAGCCCTGCTCCGGTGACCGCGGGCGTCTCTCCACCTCCACCCTTCCCCGAGGTCACCAGATTGGATCGCTCCCTTCCTGGAATTGGACCGGCTTTCTTTTTCACTTGGGACGGCTGAGGGCAGGCAGCCCCAGCACCCGAAGCCTGGGGGACCCGGGAACGGTCCCCGCGCCCCACGGGGAAGGAGCTGCGGGGCCTGTGCGTGGGTGCGCGCGCGCGCGGACGGTGGTCGGCGCGCCTTGGCTCTTCGCAATCGCCAACTCGGAAGGTCCGAGCGCACGGGGGCGCCTGGGGGCCCGCGCGCCCCGGACTTTCGCTGGGTTCCCGCGCTGAACCTGAGCACCTCGTGGGGAGAGCCCAAGTCCCCGCAGCCCGCTCGGGACGTGGGCTGGGGGGGTGTGGAAGTTGCTAATTAGCCCGCGCCAGGCCTGATGTCGCCAACCCCCAGCCGTGGTTAGCGTGGACGTCCTGGGGATTTTATTTGCACACAATGGAGATGATTTGTTAGAGAGAGAGAGAGAGAGAGAGAGAGAGAGAGAGAGAGAGAGAGAGAGAGAGAGAGAGAGAGAGGACATGGGCGATATTTGAGGAGGGGGTGGGAGAAGGAAGAGGAGAAGGCTGAGGAAAAAAAGTTTGAAAATGCCTTGAACTATTCACTGTCGAGATGGCTAATCAGTATTGAGGCCGGAGGGCAGGCGGGCCGCCTTTCACCGCCGCTTCCCTTTCATCTCGGGCTCGGCGGAGGCGCTCAATTAAAAGCCTATCAGTTTGTAAGTAAATCAACGCCTATCAGAGTTGTCACATCAAACAAAACGATTATTATTGCAGCCCGCCTCCCCTATTAATCTCCCTCGAAGATAATCCGCCTGACAGGTCAGGCCCGGCGAGCTGGAAAGCCTGGCCCAGAGCGCCCAAACAGCCTGGGACTGGCGCTCGCCCCTGGGGGCCTCCCCACCGGGTCCCGCCCCGCCTCGTGGTCCCCCGGGAGGGCCAGCAGAAAGGGCGCTCCGAGGCCGCGGGACTGAGGCCCGCCCCTCCGGACAGGGAGGCAGGCCTAGATTCGCCGGCCTAGGGGAGCACCTTCCCGGGCAGTTTTCAGGCTCAGAGCACTCGGCTTGCTGGAGCCATGGCCTGGCCTCATCCCGGGACCTCTCTGGGCTTGCTTCCCCTGTTCTCTCTCTCTCTCTCTCTCTCTCTCTCTCTCTCTCTCTCTCTCTCTCTCTCTCTCTCTCTCTCTCTCTCCTTTTCTCTCCTCTTTCCACATGCGGTGAATATTTTCCATTCTCTCCCCATTTCTAAGTCTCCCATATATACCAAGAAGTCCATACAGTCCCTCTGAAGCAGAGCATTCCCAGGGCCGGGGGAAGATCTCTGAGGCACGGTGGCCTCAGAAGTGCATATAATTCCCTGGGAACTCAGAATAAAGTCCTTGCTCATTTTTTCCCCCCAAGCAAGGGTTCTCGGAAACTTTATACCTGTGTACTAGGTTGCCAGGTTTAGGGGGGGAGAAAAAATAGAGACCATAGTAGCAAGATGGGTCCACAACTGCACGTGCCCTTTCTGGAATTGGCATTTGGTGCTGGAATTTCACAGCTTCTCCGTGGTTGACCTCAGCTGATGGCAGTTGCCAGAGCTTGGCGCATATGCGGATGAGACCCCCAGGAAAGAGGGCCCCTGCCTGCCCTGAGAGGGTGAATAAGTGCCTGACTAACAGTTGATAAGTAATGAATGACACCTACGTTACTTCTCTTACTTCTCTGGCCCTTAAATGCTCTGGGGAGGACCATGTGGGGCCTGAATTCTGGACCAGTGCAAAATTGTGGTCTTCTTCCTGGTGGACTTTGGCTTCCGGCTTTGGGTCATTTCGGAACCAAGCATGGTCTGCCTTTTCCTGTGCTCCTATTACAAATCCGTAGGCCCCAAAGACTGCTGCCAGGCTAGTGCAGTTAGAACTGAGGGATGATTTAAGGGGGTGTGTGGAGGGAGGGGGTGTGAAAGAACTGTGCCTGGTAGCCTGCTTGGCTTGGAAGCCCCCCAGGTGTACAGGGAGCACCCCCAGGGCGCTGCAGTATGGACTCTCCCATAAGAGTCCACCAGACAAGCCAGTGCCGAGGCTGTGCTTGTGGGGAGAACCAGCTTCAGTGTGCTCTGTGCCTTGAGCTTCAGGACCGGGTCCCCACATGCCGGCTTCCCGAGAACCTCCCTATTCTTGTATATTTTCCACAGCTGATGTGTTAGGAATTTTTCCACACCCAGAAATAATGCATGGATGTAACAGCTCAGTTATCGGTACACTTGCTTTTCTTAAATGGACTTATTTTACTCTGTCACGCAGTGACTATTTTTTAAAAGATAGATATAGCTCACCCTTGAACAATGTGAAATTCACTCTGGCCTTAGGAATGAGGCATCCGGTGGTTAT